CTTTGCATTGAATTTTCATCGATGTTTAGCCTAACAAATTTTTTTTAAAATAATAATCATTGCTATTGTATCGTTAAAAATTATTTTTAAATTATTTTATTGCTTACGAAACGAACAACCACTCATAATTAGAAAATTAAGTCTTGTTTAAATATTGGCCTCCCTTCAATGGTCGAGCCCGTTGATGCCAGCTAAAATACGCAAAAATTTAACAAAAATAATATTAAAGTAGCCAAGACATAGCCAAATATTGTAATGCCACATCACTAACGGACATTTGAAATTTGCCGACTAGAACGGTCGGTTAACTGATGTGATGATTAATCGGGGGTCGGATAATCGATGCTCTACTGCAGTGATTCTCAAACTTTTTCGATCCACCGCCCCCTTTGTTCCATAAAGTTATACCCAACGCCCCCTAACCCATTTTTTCTTGTGTGAGAAAAGGATTGGAAATATTCTTAGGAAAACTTTTCTATGAATATCACACTTTGTGCCCTTACTGTGCATTGTTCTCATCATCTGGAAACCATTAAACGCAATGTTTCCTCTTATCAGCCCCAATTTTGCCTTTGGTCACCGTTCAATACCCTGCCTCTATCATAGATCTATTCATCACGCCAGAAGAGAACGTTATTGCTTACTTTGAGAAACGCTGAGCTAAAATAAAAGTCAATGTGTTAGAAATATTCAAGTTGTGACCTTCGATAAAAAATAAAAAATATATAAAATGTCAACATTTTATATATATTCCGTCAAATTTTTATATATAGAATTTGTCTGCTGTCGCCCCTCTATATTTCCTTAACGCCCCCCAATGCTCTTTGAGCCTTCTACTGCCCCCCTGAAAGCCTCCAGCGCCCACAAGGGGGCGTTATCGCCCACTTTGAGAAACGCTGCTCTACTGTATATTCATATTCCATTTGATTAATAAATTACATCAGTTATATGGCATTTGGCATACTGTATAGAAATATGTAAATCTCAGATAATTCAAGACTCAATAATTCAAAGTCACAATTATTTTCTCTCTTGAATTTCAAACTAACAAGTCTGTAGTTAATTGTGGTCTGCTTCCAGTCTACATTTTTCCTAAGTTCTCATTTGCATGATGTCATCACCATGTTGACAAAGTGCAACCAAGGTTGATTGATTGTTTTTTAGAAGTGACCCCCTAAGTCTTCCATATCTGATCTGAATTTTAATGGGTCTTGCCCCTGTATCATACTTCTCCTGATAACAATTGACTCATGAATGCCAGTCATCTATCTAACTCCATTCTTGGGAAAATTTTGAATTGAAATCTTGTGACTTCTCGTCCAGACTGGAAGTTCATGTATAATTAATTGGGGCCTCTACTCCTAAGTTTACCATATCCGGTCTCAGTTTTTATGTAACTAACTCCATTCTAGAAAATAATGAACAGAAGATAGACATACAGACGACAGTGGGAATATATAGGTCTGCAATTTGAAAACTGCAGCCCAATATTTCTGAAAAATCAGTGATGTACTGTACCTGTACTTAAGAATATGATGGCAATTTTGATGGGTGCTTAGCTACAAGTGTATAAAAGTTTCAGATTCTAACAAAAGCAAAAAATATTTTGCAAGTTAGTGAACTTTTGTCATTTTTAGAATTTTTTAAAATATAAATTGTTTTTTAGAAATTAATTTTAAATTTAAGCATTAATTTATAAATTATTATATTTTTACTTTATTTCATCTTATAATCTTCAGACTATACAAGAACATAACTGATTCCAGTTTCATTCTAATGTGACAGATTGCTGTGATACTAAAATGAAATAAAGCAAAAGTACTCATTGAAATTGTTTGATATTGTTATTTTGAATTTAAGTGTCATTAATACTGTCTTTTTAGGAAGTAACAAATTTTTGACAAGTCAAGTACAGTTTTAATTTTAGTTTAATTTATTGATAGTTTCAGTTTTGCTAATTTTTGTAATAATTCTTTTATTTTTACATCTCAATTGATATTACTAAAATTTGATAGTAAAATTTGTTCTTTGTCTAAAATAAATAGAAAGTACATAACAAATGAATTACTGTATACTGTATTTGCAAATTACAGTCCATCCTCAATATAATAGATTCTAAGGGACATGTGAGCTGTTAAATCAAGAGACATGCTAATACATGTAGTTCTAATGCAGCAGCAAAATAACAGCAAATATATATATAAATTAAAAACAGTTTTAAATGTAATACTGTTTTATATAAACCTAAAATAATAGTGAAGGAAAAGGCAACAGCATCAAAACCGTACCTTTCATACTTTTCCAGCTTGGTTTTATTTAAGATAAACAAACAAACATTTTCAGTTTATTCAGAAATTCTAAAGTTAATGCTTTGAGTTTAGCATTGGCTTTCAAAAAAGGCATTGTTCTGAAATTCTAGATACAAATGTTAAATACATTATGTGACATTAACATTTAAATTTAAAATATTCAATCCATAAAAATAAGTATATTTTAAAATGTGTGATTTAAATACCATAAAATTATTACTGAATATAATTAGGTACATATTGGGCCTAATAATATATGTTCTCTTTGGCATAGTTTGGCAACTACTTTGGCATAGTTCACAATACTAAATGAAGCTGAGATTATAAAATCAGCCTTGGATGGATGAACAGCATTTAAGATCACTTAAAACACTAGAGATCTACAAAGCAACATTTTAAAAATGAATGCATTAATTATAAAGATTCTTATTCCCTTTCCAATGTCTAAAGGTTCATTCTTTGACAACCCCCTAAAAACATGAGACAGCTTTATACAGAGAGAACTTTATAATGGTGTAAGTTTTTGTAAACTATTTCCTCCAGTTATTTTTGCAATTCATAAATATCAGAACAATGCATTTTTCAGAAGATAACACTAAGCCTGAAGCAGGTTTATGAATAAACCAAAAATATTTGTTTGTTTCTTTATCTTAAATAAATCCAAGCTGGAAAAGTATTAAAGATGTGGTTTTGATGTTAGTTGTTCCAGCATTTGTACTTTGAATTATATATAAAGGCAACAGCTTGCTTGTACCACTAACTTGTACAACACAAACGAAAAAAACCTCATCAATGGTTCTCTTGAAATCATACTGTGAGTATATAAAACAATTTTATAAATTACATTTATTTTTTTTTTAAAGAAAATGAAAATTAGCAAAAAATACATTTTTCTTAAGCATACAACAGTTTTCTATATATTTTGAATACTGTATTTTTATTTTATTCTATTTAATCTGGTCTAGGATAACTAAAGTCTGATATATTGACGAACGATATATTAAAGATGGACTGTGTTTAAAGTTGAAAAAGACAACTTTTATGAGACTGTACAAACTGCTGATCTTCCTAACCTTCTGTTAGCTGAGCTAAGTTAACTTATTGTTACTGATGATTTTGGAATATTTATAATGGCAACATTAAGAATATAATTTCTAGCAAACTGTCAGAAATATCTGATAATGATATAATGCAAATGTAAAGTAATTTTTAAATTCATAATTTTATTTGCCAATAACTAGTCTTTTGAATTAGCTCATCTGGCAGAATGTAATGACAACAGAATTAAACCCAATTTTCAGGTGATTCTCAATTCCATTCCTCTTACTGGTAACTTCTACTTTTATATGATCTAAAAATATAATTTACATCTGAAAATGGGTTTTTCCTTATTCTGAATATTTAGATTTTTACAAATGAATATCTATGTCTAGAAATTTGTTTTTTTTAAATGTTTGAGAAAAATCAATGTGCAGTTAATTTGACAATAGTCATATTAAAAGTTTTTCAACATCTTGAGAAGTCCCAACCTGTAAATTTTCCTTTTTATGAATTTAATTCAATTAAAAGAAATGATTTATAGTAGAAACTAAATTAATTTTTTTAACATTCACTTTCTAATTTGATCTGTTAATTTAGTGACAATCCTAGCATTCCATTTCAATAATTCATTTAAAAAATAATAATCCATTACTTTAATTTTTGAATCAATTTGAATTGAAATTATGCCATAAATATCATTTTAAGTATTATTTTTACATCATAACACAATGTAATTATTATTAACAATATAGTCCTATCATAAATACACATTTAATATATAAACCTGTATTGTAAATGCTATTTAAAACAGAAGAGAGATTTATAAAATTTGTGTATCTGTGCTATTCAAATTTAAAATAAAGAACTTAAACCAGAAGTAGGTAATACTTCTAATAACAATGCCACTTTTCAAATAAAATAAAGCAATACAACAAAATATACTATAAAAATCAACAAAGAAAACCTACAAAAAGTATATAATGTATAAAATAAAATTCTAAAAGACAATGGAGTCAGAACTTATTACTGATCTTTACCTAATTTTACTATAAACAAATACATGAAAATTTAAACTTCCTTTACTTTCTGATTTGTGGAGGATTATTGTAGTTACAAAAAGTACCTTTTTGAACTAAAAAATGTTTTTTTTTGTTTGTTTTTTTTTGCACTCACAGAATAAATAGCCTTTTATAATTGAATCTAATGCATGCACATTGACAATCCAAACCACAGTTTATTTAAAAAAGAGAGTACTTTCACCCTATTTATACTTTCAGGAATCTTTAGTCATTTAGAACAATTGGAATAATAGAACATCAAATGTATTTGAACAGATTTAAAATTTAAATTATATACAAAATAAGATCAATTTTAAAAGGACTGTATTGTAACAATTCTGTAAAAAAAATCAATATGTTTAACATGCATTAAAAGTGAAATGATGATAATGTAGAATGTCCAATGTTGTGTGAAGGAAAATTGTTTAAATACTTAAAACTATATGCTTTAAAAATTTCAATAGAATAAAAAAAAATGACGAATAAAAATCTACATTTAATTGTTATTTCTACTTTTGAAATCACAGTTAAACTATTTATATTGTGTGTATGTATATATTATATAAATTTATAAAAATAAATGAATACTTACCAAATGTCTTATTCAAAAGTCTTTTGTACATTTCCACACTTGACTTCCTATGGATCATTCTGTGAGTCACAGCCTGGTATTGCTTAAGGAAATCTTGCTCTGAAGACGTTGATTCTGATGAATCGGAACGTTGCAAACTGGGTCGGGATTCAAGGGTGTCTGACTGCTGGCCCTCTGGAGACAAATGTTGGGCACATGAAGTAAATCCCTGTGCAAACATTTGTCACTAAAATTACTTGAAGTATGTTGCATTTAACTTAGACATGTTATGGTAAATTCCAGAGCTAAGTAGCACCATTAACGAGTGGACTGTTAAATGCCTGTATAAAGCTTGTTGATATTGTCTAATTGATGCAGATATGTAATGTATTGAATAATACTTAGGATGCTGATTTTTAAATTACCCTATAATAATTAAGGATGTAGTCAATTATTATAATATGTAATAATTTAATGGACTGTTTGAATTGAGAGTATATAACTTAAGTTTATGAATTATTAAAAAATGTGAATCTAAATGCTAATTTATTCTAATGTATTGAACTGTGTATTATCATTTTGAAAATGTTAATTGTTTTCAGCAAAATGTTTCATAATTTAAACTAATAAATAATCAAATATAAATATTTTAAATTCAAATGTAAATAATAATTATTTAAGGGAATAAAAATTCTATAAAATCTAAGCATATTTAATTTAAAAAAAAAAAACACATTNTTCAAGGTTTTAAAATCAGAATTAAGTAATTTAATTCATTTTTTTAAGTTTTATTATGATTTTAAAGTTTTAAAAATTACTATGGACTATTACAATTCATGAATTAATGGGATATGAATTATGCAGTCATAAATTAAACATTTTGATAGTATTCAATAATTTGCAATATTTAAATTTTCTTTAATTATCGTGTACTGAAACAAATTCTGTTTTCTAAACTTATTAAATTAATACGATCTATGTTATTACTTATAATCTCTTAATCATTGTAATGTAATAATACATTGCAACTAGGTATTGCAATTGCTGGATTCCTCATCCAGAAATCCAGCTGAATCCAGTACATTTTTCAGCCATTTTTCAGTACCAGGTGCTGGATCCAGCACTGCGGATCCGCAAATACTCAATTATCTTTCTAAATAATGGCACAAAAGTCTACGTTGTCGACCTTGCCACTTTGCTACGTGCGCTATCGCTCGGCGGCGAGAGCGACGTTGCCATTAGGTGCGGCACGTGCTACACCCCCTCTCTACACCACCCGCCCTTTTACCTCTGCTGATCTAATTGCCAGTTGACTTTCTGCTCTCGCTAAATAAAATAAGTAACTCCTATCCTAGTCCTGGTGCATAATTCTAATTTACGGTTGGTTGTGACATCAATGAATCATGTGACAAAACGATTGCAGTTTAAACTGGCCGTAGAAGCTCTCTGCAGAAGAGTCGAGTTTGATAACTGCTGACACAACCCTGAAATTTGTCTTAGACAAACTAAAAAGCCAGGACACAATCTTGAGTGCCAACCTTTCCAAGGCACTCCACAAAAGAATCAGAGAATGGCGTCCTACCGAGGTTACAGGGATGCTGATTTACATACAGAACCCGAAGAAGTATGACCAAAAAGTTAGAAAGCTTTATCTTTCACATGCCGAAAAAAATGTAATGTGCCAGGAGATGAAAAATATGCTGAATCATGTAAATACATATGTAGTGGAACCAGCAGCAATGGCAGAGAATATTACGAAGGTGGAAAACAATGATCCAGATAACCCAGATTTCCTGAATTTCACATTGGAACAAGAATTAGAGATTCAACTAAAGCATGAGAAAGAAAACTTCATGAAATGGAAAGAAACTAGTACTGAGAAGGATTACGATAAGTTATTAAAAAAGGAAATGGCTGTTTATGAAAGTGAGGGAGTCAGAGGTGAAAACTTATCTTTGATTTATCATTATTTGATGACACTGAAACCAACTAGCATACAGGCAGAAAAGGCCTTATATAGGGTGGGATATATATGCAGTTCATTAAGAAGTAGGTTGGGAGACAACACCATCAATACTATTTGTTTCTTGAGATCCTACTTTTAGAAAAGTAAAAAAAAACAGAAGTTATTGATTTAATTTTATTTAATCCTTTAAAATACTTTATTCAAGACAAGACTAATATTTTATAACTTCTACTCTAATTCTAATAAGTAAGAGTTTTTAACTTTTATTCTATAAGTGGTTAGTGGGCTAGGCTATGCAATTTTATTGTGAAAATTAGTGAGAAACTGAGACTACCTAGTTAGTTAATTAAATTAATGAGTATCAGTATCTTAGATATATGATGATATGAATGTACTGTACGTGATTCATGATTGTGATGATAATAACTAACTACTAGAGTACTACTAATTACTTACTCANTCAATGCAAATATCTTAAGCAGTATCAAATACAAACACTTTAATTTAAAAAATTGCTTTATATCAATTTATATACTGCAAATATATTAATAATGATGGCTAATTGACTGTAATACATCAATTATTAACAAATATCTACTGAATCTCTAGATGTGATCAAATAATTTAATTTTCAAATAGTTAAAAAATATATATATAAAAGCAAACAATAATTACCATTATTTCTTGTGAATTAGTTAGCTATTGGTTAAATTATCTGTTCTGACTCTAAAGAAATGAAAGATGGCTTGAATAAATACGTGAATATTTATTCAAGCCATCATACATGTATATACATGTATGTTTTTGTATGTTTTTACTTGCGAGTACTATGTAGGTCAGAAATGCTGTGTTTAGGAGGGTATAATAAGTCCAAGAATAAAGATTCTTGGACTTATTATATCCTCCTAAACACAGGATCAGCCTTAAAACATCAATTTATTTTCCAAAAAAGAATGCATTTCTGACCTACAGTCCCTTATTTAACAAATGCTAAGATTTCTTTGTACATTTCGAGTTTGAAAATATATCCATATTCCATGGAGATTTGTAAAGTTGATGAGGAACTGTAGTCCAAAATGCATTCTTTTGTGGAAAATAAATTGATGTTTTAAAGCTGATCCTGTGTCTAGGACGATGTAATAAGTCTAGGAATAAAAAGGCCATTATAGTGTTCACAGTAATTTCTAAGCTACACAAGAAGCGTATCATAGTATCTTTTGTATATCTTTGTTAAGTTATTTTCTCGTTGGCTTAGGAGTTCTTTTTTCCTTCTTCTCTTCAATAGATGTGCCCTTACAATTTTACATTGTATTATTCAACTTTATCTATGACATTATTTGCTTCTACTATTTCTTTTGTGTTTATTTAAGCACATATATTCTAACAATTTGATTTATAGTTCTCAGTTGCTCTGCTTTCATTTTTACTCATGTCGTTGATTGTCTTTACCTCACTTTCATACAATAATATACAGATTTCAGCATGATAAATTTTTTGTATCCTCAAAAACATTTACTTTGAGGATATAAACAATTTATTTTTCTATAAACTGAGCTTTATATTTAATTTATATGTTTTTGTTTAAAGTATTATTAATAGATTTTTAAAATCTTGGAACAAACTATAATTTATTATTAATTTAAAAAATAAATGAAACTTCTAGGAGATTCTAGGAAATTATAAAATAATTAACACATTGGTATTCAATTTGTTTTTTGTCCAAGGATGGTGGCTGTAAGCCATTGAAAGTACTAGCAAGTATTTCTTGATTAATTACGCTAATAAATTATAATTGTAACGCCACTACACTGTTGTGTTAATTATTTTATATAATTGTTGATGTAGTGTCTTTTTACAATTAATAGGAAATTATTTAATTAAACACTTTTAGAATGGCTCTAATTCCAATTTGTTGGAGAAATAGCTGCAGTAAACATGGATGTGGTAGAAGACTGGTTGCAAAATAAGTGACCCAAAATTATAGAAAATTTCCAAGATTGTGATATCTTTAACATAGATGAAATAATTTTTTTATAAGCTTACATCAAATAGGATGCTAAAATTCAAAGGAGAAAGCTGTGCAGGAAGAAAATTATTTAAACAAAGAAGTACTATTCTATTAGCAGCAAATGTTATGGGAATGGAAAAAAGAAAATTGTTAGTAATTGATAAATTGAACAATCCAAGATGTTTCAAAAATTGACAGCTACCAGTAAACTACAAATCTAAGTGAAAAGCTTGGATGACCTCTGACATTTCTGTAGTAAACTGCAAGAATAGGATAAAGAATTAAGAAAAATTATATGAAAAATATTATTGATTGACAACTGCCTGATACATCCTGGCATCAAGAATTTACATCACATTACAATGGTGATCATGCTGCCCAATACAAGTTCAAAACTACAACCTTTAGATCAAGGGGTTATACACAGTTTAAAGAGCAGCTATCAGAAAATTCTCCTTTTAAAAATGGTAAGTTCTATAGATAATAGCTATGAATTGTTTTCTGTAAATCTTCTTGATGCAATAAACAACAAGATAAAATGTATCAATGCAAACAACAGCAAATGGTTTTCGTCATGCAGGCTTTCTACAAACTAATGGAGAAGCGTTCAATTCAGATGACAATATTCCAATCAATGAACTTTTGAAAACCAAACTTACAAATAATGAAACAAAAGGTGTTCAAGACATGCTCCTTCTGCAGTTACTGGATGTATTTTCTGACTACAATTTTGAAGAATATGTCTGGGTTGATGACAGTATTATTACTAGATGATATTATAACTTCAGTGTCTTCCAAAAATAATGAAATTAGTGAGGATGAAGATGATGATACAACAGATAATGCTAATTTCTGAAGTTCTGCAAAACACTATTGTTATTCAAGAGTTTTTACAAGTGCATAATACTCGACAAAATATTTTAAATAGTGTAAAATAAACAATACCTTTCACCAACCCAACTGCTGGATTGGTGAAAGGTATTGTTTATTTTACATTATTTAATTAGTTCCAGTAAGCATTTGTTTATTTTAAATACTTTTGCTGAAGTAAAACTGTTTATTACAGAATGCTATGAAACTCGCAAAAATCAACAGTCATCTAAAAAATTTACTAAACTTCAGCATAGGAGCCTGTAAAATATCAAATCTAATTGATTTCTTGTTAAGCTTTTTGGCAGTATATCTTAGGACATCGCTTCCATCGCACAGTTGAAACACCATTACCTGGTGTTTCAACCATGCAATGTCAGTAACC